GCCCGCTGGGTTAATTTGCAACATGGTGACATGCATCAGACACCTTTAGCTGTCACAAGTGTTGATTTCCATGGGACTTATCAGGCGGGGTAGAGTTGAAAACACCCTTCAGGGCTGGAGAGATGGCTCAGTGGTCTAAAGCACCTACTTGGAACAAACTTGACAAAGCACAGGGACCGCGGTTCAATCCCCCAGCACCACATGCCAGCCAGCCCCGCCGCCTGGTGGGCTGAGCTGGCCACACACACACGCACACACACACTAAATAAATGTTAAAAAAAAAAAAAGAAAGAAAACACCCTTCAAAGCAGGGCCAATACATTGAAAGAGCCTTCAGATGCCTTTCTCAGTTTATAGACCCTGAGGCAGACTTGGGGATACGCAAGGTCTTTGAGAATGTTTTATCCTTGTGGAGGACACTGAAACTGAAAATTGCAATAGCCCCTTCATACCTGAGCAGTCAGTAACTCATTCATCCATCCATTTGTATCTCAAGGACCGAGTAACCCGGCCCTCCAACCCCATCTCACCCTTTTCCCCCTTATTCCTGTTTGCCCATGATTTGGGGTGAGAATTTTGGGTGAAACTTTTCTTTCCCTTGTGCTCTGAGCACTGGTCTTACAGAATTGTAGTGGTTCTGCAGATGCCCCAGACCTCCCTCTGGCTTCACCCTGAAGATACAGCACAAGTGCATGCTGCGACCTCCCACCCCCTACTCAGGGTCTGAGGGGGCAGCAGCCTTTGGAGAAGACAGCGGACAAGAGTGAGAGATGGCTCCCCTGCACCCACCAACCCCAGGTGGAAACACTAAACTGCCTATCCCAAGAGTACCCTGGCCATTTCTGCTCACTCTGGTCCTCCCTGGGTTTATTGGCTTTCTCTTTTTTTCTTCCCTTATCCGAAATTCCAGTGGACATTTTGTCCTTCCATTATGTGTTCATTCATGCATGCATGCATGCATGCATTCATTCATTCATTCATTCATTCATTCATTCTCTATTCATTCATCCGCTCACTGATTAAGCAGTATCCACTGCAAGGCACCATGCCAAGCACCGCTGAGGACATAAAGATGGACTAGACACGAATTCCGAGCCTGCATTGCTGATAATCCATTCCAGCAGATAAGATACATTCTGTAGAGTGAGACCCTTACACGTGATGTGCTAAGAAATGCAAGTGCCTGGGAGGAGAAGCTGTGCTGCAGAGGACCAGCTGGACTGGTTTGGAAGGACTTCTCAGTTCCTTTCTGGAAGGGAGGAACAAAGCCCTGATGTCTGAAGTCAAAGGGACTGAGGGTAGCAAGGAGAACCTGGGTGCTGAAGTCACAGTAAGCAAAGAAGAGACAAGTGTCTGAGGTCCCTAGATGGATCTTTCTTCCTCCTTTGCACCGCCTTCAAATCCTGACTCTTTATCAGGCTGGGCCACTGCACGGATAAGAAGGGAAGTGGTCCCTGCCCCGGCAGCATGACCTTGGCCAAGGTCACATCTCTAATTCTCTACATGTATGTTATGGTTTGTGTCTAGTTGTCCCCTCAAAGCCTCATGTAGTCATGGGGAGGGGACTTCTAGAGTTTGTGATTAACTCATGATCCACTGGGATTATGGGTGATCCAAGGCTGGGATTATGGGTCTTAGTACTGCTGGGAGTATGGGTGTGTGTACTTCCCCAGCCAGGGGCAGAAAGCCTGAATGCAGTGTAAGAGAGACAGAGCGACAGACCCTCTCTCTCTGTTGCCATTGTTGTTGTTCCACCACCATGAACTGGGTGCTCTCTGCCCTGTGCCACCCTGCCTTGGAGCCGGCTGAGTACAGACTGAAACCTCCAGTAACTGTGAGCTAAATAAACCTTTCCTTTCTTCATCTTGGGTGTTGGGTATTTGTCCCAGAAACGAGAGAGGAGTAACTGAGACAATGTAACCATTAGACGTATCTGGCACATAGTAGGTGCTTAATGTCTGTCCGCTAAATGAGCGGATGGCAAAGGTATCCATTTATGACAAGGGGGGACTGGTGTCCTGAGGGGGGACCGGTGTCCTGAGGGGGGACCGGTGTCCTGAGGGGGGACCGGTGTCCTGAGGAGGGACCGGTGTCCTGAGGGGGCACCGGTGTCCTGAGGGGGGACCGGTGTCCTGAGGGGGGACCGGTGTCCTGAGGGGA